TGAGTGGTAGTCATAGCGGAAGCCTAGGATAAAAGAATTGGATTGGCCACTATGAAAGACTTGAACTGCTCAAACATAGACTGCATATTGGAAGATAGACCATTCTCAGAAATTGGTGTAGAAAAGGCGGCAAATGAGCGAGATCCCGAAAATGTCGGCTTAGAGGATGGTAGACCAGGTGAACGACCCTTGGGTTGCACCAGCTTAGGATAAACATGTTTCCAATGATCTTTCTGATGACAAAAGCTACACTCATCCATAGAAACTCGAGGCTTGGGCTTACCAGTAACTTGAAATAAAGGAGATGGTAGGGTTGGCAAGAGCGGAGGAGTGGCAAAAACTGATTGGGAATGAGGAATACCATGAGCCACCTTGAACCAAGTTTCTTTCGCAATAAGCTCATGGACAGCACCATCGACAGAAGACAAGGGGGACTGATGAAGAATAGCGCCCCAAAGTGGCTCAAACTGATCACGATGGGCCATAAGAAACTGAACAAGACGTTGTTTCTCCCGATACTTGGTATAACTGTCAAGTAACTGCAAATCTAATGGTTCCATTAGAGCAAGCTGATCCCAATAAGCAGTCATCTCATTATAAAATTCTTGAATGGACTTATCTTTCTGACTAGCACTGCGAATAGACATCTCAAGTTCATACTGTTTTGCAAAGTTAGACTCAAGGTACATAGTTTTCAAATAGTCCCAAACTTGTTCAAAAGTAAAATACTTGGAGAAATTCATACCAACGGTGGTTTGAACTGAATTATGAAACCAAATAAGAATTTGTGCATTTTCCTTATCTCATTTAGCAACATCAGCCTCAGCTTTTTTGGATTCCAATGGTCGAGTAGTCACACCAATAACATAGTTCCACATACTTTTACCCATGATAAAATTTTTCATTACATGAGACTAATAAGAATAATTTGTGCCATCTAACTTAGTGGTGATGGCTTGCAATTTATCATCAGCCATATTGCTATAATCAAACAACCCAGTGTAAATAAGAATAGTACCAAACAGAGATACACACTGAACCAGAGGCCACGATGGCGAAGTGTGAAGAAAAGAGAGAGAGTAGTACCAGTTAGAGAGATACAATGAGCCAGAGATCACGATGAGGAAGGGTGAAGGAGAGAGTCCCAATCTCAGCGACCAGAGAACCACGAACGACCAGACAGAAATCAAAGTAGAGTCAGGCAATCGCGATTGACGAGAGAACCAAAAATGACATTGAAGACTTGGAGCCGAAATTAATGAGAGAACCACAAACGAAAATCATGAAGCAGAATAGAAGAGGCAGGCGCGAGACAGGGCAGTTAGGTCTCGAAGCCAGTTAGAGGCATTCACGAGAGAACTGTTGGTCGCTAGAAGCCTTCAGTCGAACTAGACAATCACAGGGAAGTAGATGTTGACTCAAGGGCTTCTAGAGGTTTCACTCAGAACCCGCTCTAATACCATGATAACAAAGAACATCTATTTCGTATATCTAGAATGAATCATTGAGTACAATATATATAATCTAAATAAAATAAGCCCTAATAATCTAATAGACGAAACTACCTTAAATGACTAATATAAAATACAATAATCACAATTCAGCTTCAACGCTTATTGTTTCTTTCAAATTCCCATGTGCCCTTTATATATAACCCCATATTTGCTTCTTGTTTTTTTGACACAATACAAAAGAGCAATTGCTATTAGAATTTGGTGTGTTTTGGGGCTATTTCCCAATAAATAAATTAATGCCATCTTGATTTTGGAATATTTCCTGCCAAAAGTTTGTATTGCCAGGCTCTTTTTGACACTGTTAGCAATGAAAAATAGAAAAATATTCTTTTTTCAGTGCTATCGTGAACCCAAAGATAAGTTTTTTTCTTTTTTTTTTTTCCCACACTCAAAATGGCATTGGTATTAAAATATGAATAATGGTATATAAATAAAATATTTATATAAAATTTTAATACAAAATTATGTGATTTCTCATCATATTTTCAAATAGAAGTTTGAGCTCAAAATGCTACTGCCCCATTATTATAAATGAGTTTTTAGTATGAAAATTTTAAGAAAATCAGTTCAAAGTAATTATACTTTTATAAAGGTGCAAGTCAAAACAAACATAAATTGTGATAGAATTGTAAGTTTCAATATATATATATATATTTAATTTTATTTATAAATTATTTTCTATTAAAATATTAAATATTAGGATAAATTAATGCCAATTGCATGTGCTGAAGTTTGAACTTGTTCCTCCCTGAGTAGATGTAGATGTAGATGTAGTTTGCTAAGCTTTATTATTTATTCATGTTTAATAAACTATACAAAATGTCATGACCACGTGAGATACTTTTCAAGTCACTACACAATTTTATGGGGCATATCTAGGCCAAATGAGAAAGTGCATGTTGTATTTATATGCATAGTGTTAAAAGTTGTTGCATTTTAATTGTATAATTTTAGGGTTAGATTGGTTGTTGCACCAAAGTTAGGATCAAAGTTCGAGAAAAGTTTACCTTGAATTTCAAATCTTAAAATACAGTTTGAAATTTAGGTAAATTTTTAATTTGATTCAACTTTTACTTTTGATTTTTATTATTTTAATTAAAATAATAATAACTCTAAGTTCTAAGTTCAGCTTTAATTTAATTATTTTGTTGAAATTAAATATTAGAATTTATATTTTTTTAACACATGTTACTCATATGGATGCCCGTAAAAAATTATTGACGGTAATTTGAAAATGAAATGACAAAATTAAAATTGAACTTAAAGTTTAATGTTAACATTCACTATAAAAAATGATGGTTTTAGAGACCAAAATTTAAGGATAAAATTATTTTTAGGGACCGAATAATTTGGTTGTGAAAAGTGTCGTTATTATATTTTTAGTAACAAAAATTGGACATTAGTGATGAATTATTATCTTTTTGAGACCAAATTTTTTGTCTCAAAAAATAAATTATTTTGAGACTAAATTATTTTGTCCCTAAAAGTCTATTTATTAGTGACATTTTCAAAATTTTGTTGCTAAAAGCCTTATTTTTTACTTTTCAGGACGACCTTTTAGCGACTATCCTTATGACGACAGAAATTGGTCCCTAAATATTTTTTACAATAAAATTTTCACTTTTAGAGACCAAAAAATTTGGTCTCTAAAATTCTTATATGTTGTAGTGATTGTTCAAATTAAAATAACAGACTGAAATAAAATTTGAATCAAATTATAAGGGTGAAAATTTTAAATTATCCTTGACAATTTTAGACTTATAACAAGAGAAATTTCAACACTATTAGGCATTTTCTATAGTCTAAAAGTACATCAAAAAAAATGTAAACATCTATTTAGTAAGTTAGATTATAACTAAAAGCGTCATAACCATTCCATTGACTCGAACATTACAACTAAAACAACCATAATCGCTTTATCAACTCAGAATCTTGAACCTCTAATATTTTCACTCTTCTAAGACACAATTACATAAACAATTAGGCCAATTGTCCTATTATTGATTTGGAATCTATCATAGTCTTTGCTTTTATGATTTAATTGTTTGCTTTTAGTCCTAAAGTATCTATGAAATTAATAGTCATGATAGTTACATAATTTAATTATATTCATCTTTAAAAACAAATCATTATTTTAGAATGTCTATTTTTAAGACAAATATAAATTATTTGTTAACCAATTCACGAACCTGTAAAACGGATAACGTGAATTTAAAGGAATTACACAGGTATACTCTAAATTACCTAGCGAATCCACGCCTAATTGAACCAACCTCTATGTGCCTCTTCCAACCCGTCTTTACATCGGAATTGTCTTTACGATGAGCCACCCCGAAATCCACCAAAGCTTCAGGCTCGAATTCTTCAGAATCCACCGAAGAACAATTCTCTTTTTTGTAGAACAAAACACAACATTTGATGTACTCTTTTTAATCCATGAGTTGAATACTCAATAAAACATCAAAGAAAAACTCACAAAGTATCCCCAGATATAAACCCTAGAACCCAAAAAGAAGATCTGGAGTTGTAATCCTAAAATCTGACCCAACACGCGAATTTATAGAATCTGTCCCGCGATCATCGCTCGAGCGCCCAACAGCCCGTTCGAGCGTCTTCAGCAAAATATGCGCGTGATATAACAGAGGTCCGCTCGAGCGCTATAGAACCCGCTCGAGCACGAAATCACACATCTTAGTACTTTTGCAGGCGACCAAAACTGCTGGAACCAGGGATTCTCCGCTCGAGCGTGGGTATGTCCGCTCGAGCGGACAGGCAATTTTGAATGCATTTTTGCATTTTGCTTCGGGGGCGCTGCCCCTCGACCCCGCCGTGGCGCTGTCCCGGACCCGCCAAGGGGCACTACCCCCTGGACCCCTGCGAGCTGACCGGGCAGCTCGATCCCCGTCATAATCAGCGAAGTGGAAATCTTGAAAGCATTAGCATCACAAACTTCTTTGAAAGGCATAATTCAGGTTGGATTCGCATCTAAACACTCATAGTCTCACTGAAATAAAAGTACGAAAATAAATACAACTGAAAGAAGTTTTGTCAAACGAGATTGCCAAGAATAAAACCTAACAATAGTCTTTGCTTTTATGATTTAATTGTTTGCTTTTAGTCCTAAAGTATCTATGAAATTAATAGTCATGATAGTTACATAATTTAATTATATTCATCTTTAAAAACAAATCATTATTTTAGAATGTCTATTTTTAAGACAAATATAAATTATTTGTTAACCAATTCACGAACCTGTAAAACGGATAACGTGAACCTAACATCTAAAGTACAACTCTCCAATCCACTTAGGATTGTTTTGAGTGAAAAAAAAAAAAATTATTTTTAATAATTTTTTAATTTTTTAACTAAAATATTGTGTTTTCAAAATAAACTCTCTCATCCCCACACATAAACACCGACAAACACACATTCATTGTGCATCTCATACATATAAACACAAATAAAAGCATATATTAGGCGCATATATGATATTTTAAAAGTATTTTTTAAAAAAAAATTGTACTAAATGTGATCATAACAGATTAAATAGGTATAAAAAGAAAAAAAAAAGAAAGAAAAAGAAAAGAGAGAGAAAGAAAAATAATAAAACACCTCATTCATAGAACGAGATACAACTTTTTCACAAGATTACACATTTGATAAGCCCTACACATTATATAAAAGAGTTGTGTCTGATTCCATCATCAAATCCTCCAGCTTCCTTGACAATGTGGCAAACCCCTTATCAGTTATCATAGTTGTCTAAGGTATCCCCTATTGTGTCGCTTGGCATGGTTTCTCATTGCACCCGGTAGCCTATGGTTCCTTCTCTTCCCACTCAGTGTCGGCGCTGAAGGTGTTGTTGTTGTTGGTGGTGGTGGTGTTTTTACTATCCTTTTTCGAAAGGTTTGACGTTGTCGTTTCCTATAATAATTCTTTCCCATTTGAGCCTGAGTCGAAGCCCCAGGCTGAGGTGGTGTTGGTGCTGACGGTGATGGTGATGGTTTTCGTGGCGGTGGTGATGGAGGCTTATTTTGACGTTGATTCAAATTCCCTTGCTTTTGAGGTGGAGTAGTGGAACGAGGAGGTGGTGGCGGCGGCGGCGACCGTGGCAGTGGTGGCGACAATGACTGTGGTTGTGATGGTGATGGTGGTGGTGGCGGCGGCGGCGGCGGCGACCATATGGAAGGTGAAGGTTTGGTTTTCTTTAAAGGGTTGACATTGGGATAATTTCCAGTTGGATCATAGGAACAAATAAAAAGTATGCCCAATTCATGATTACAAGTGGCACTAGCACAACCCACTTTTTGTGTATCGGCCCAAACAACTTGGGTATAATGGCCACACATGCATTTATTGGTTTCAGGTTGGCATTTGCAAGAACATTTTTGATGATCAAAGTTCTTCTCCTCATTGATCCACACTTGGGTCACCCTCTCCGGCGAGTACTCATCGTATTTTAGCCACAGGGTGTTCTCTCCGTATTGACCAAACGAATGGTTTCTGGGATTGCAATCGTTTACGTGTAGCGCCGCCCAACGTGCAGAGTACTTGGCTAGGTTTTCGTCCCATTGCAGCGGCCCCACTCCCTTTTTCCGTCGAAAATCGTTGTGGGCAGCAAGGTATTCCTGTGCTTCTGATGACAACTTTTGTTGTTGTTGCTGTTGTTGTTTTGGATTTGCATTGTTTGGGGTAGCTTTCGAGGAGGCGATGAGGAGGTGAAGAAAAGTGGAAATGAATAACGCTCGGAGGATTTGAGCCTTAGACATTTCCATGGCTTTCTCTCTCCGGTAGGTTTTGATGGATTTACTTGGTTTTAGGTGCTCTCATGGAATGAGATCAACCTCAATTGGCATAAGGAAGAAGTAGAAGGAGTTTATTTGATTTACTTTCTAAATGTGACTTTCTTACGGGATAAATCTACCATATTGCCATGGACTATTTTTGGTGTAATCTTCAATTTTACCAATCAAATTACACCCCTAATAAGAAGTTATTCCATACCCCATCAGCATGGTCAGATGTTGCCTCAAAATTTTGGTGATTAGTGAAGAAAGTGGGGTATACGATTTTTTGTTTAGGCATAAAAGAACCACAACGGACTATGTGTTTGGTTTTTGATTGGTGGCATGAGTCATGTGGTTCCCCTTGCCACCAAATAATTTTTTGATAATATAGTATGAAATATTATTGGATAAGTCATCTTTTCTCTCAACTAACTAACAAAAGTGGGTTCATTTTATCTCACACATTTCTTGCGTCATTGATTGGAAGCACTATGTGAACAATATAACATAATAATTTGAGATTATTGAACAATTACCGAATAAGAATATATATAGACAAAAACATGCTCATAATTTATAGTATCTATTGAGTAATTTATTGAATATAACAGTAATATCATGTAACAATACTATTAATCAATGTAAGACATTTCAAATTGTGATTATGGAGATAATTTAGTTAGATTAATTCGAGACAGGAACAATCTTTTGTTAATCGATAACACCACATGAAATAATACATTACTATTAGGTGTCAAGCTCACTTTTTATACTCATTTTATAAACTCAGTGATATGTAAATGATATGATTAGTTAATGATTAGAGAAGATATAAAACGAAGTGTTACTTTTAATATTTTAATTGATTATCATATCATTAAGTTTAAAATTAAATTTGATTTTTAGTCTTGAATAATAATTTTCTTTGATGAAATGTGTAGCCGTGAAAAATTAAATATGATAGTTTTCTTCGGGTTACTATTAAAGGCCAGTCTTAAAAGTGTCATTTGAACAAGCTTGAAATGGAACCATCAAAATTTTAAAACTTCAGCAATAAGCCGCAACTTTAGGTTGTCCATAGGACACACATGTCAATGATCAAATAGTCAAACTGTTGTTTGAGGCTTCAAAATAATAATATATATATATATATATTAGTGATTTTGTTGTCATCCTCTCATATCACTGCCGTGTTTAGATTTTTGCAATTGGTGACTTGATTAGAATATTTTTGTAAGAAATAATAAAAGTGAATAACATTTTACCCAATTTGCCCGATAAACATTACATTTATAATTTTGAATTTTTTTTATTATAATTTTGTCTTTATTAAAATTATAAGAAAATAATTCTAAAAAATAAGAAATCTAAATTCACATTCCACCTATTCCTTTCTCACCATCTCCACTGGACTACCAACTCTACCCTCTCCATTTCTCCCTTCGCCACCCCCTACCAATCATTTTTCTTTTCGCGTTGTCCCTTCAACAATCCCTCTTTTTTTTTTTTTTTTAAATTATTTATTTATTTATTTATTGTAATATGAAATCTCTCACCTTTGCACGCTATAGAGAGCTATAGAGGGAGTGCTAGATGATGTGCTGCCTATGACAATCAAAAGTGGTGGTTGTGGTAAGGTATGAAGTTATGACTTGAAAGACTTAGGGTGTAAAAAGAATATTATATGAGAGTAGGGATGTGATTATATTTGAAAATGTAAAAACCATGAAAAGATATTTTAATTATAATAAAAAAAAAAATTTAAACTTTTGAGAGTGGTGGAATTAAATAGTGGGTGTACTGAGCTTTTGTATTGTGTAAATAGATGCTTTAATTTTTCATGTTTTATAACACTACCAATAATTTCGTAGTCAAAATCAATTCCTTGTTACTTTGTTCCTTGGATGTGAACTGTGCACCCTTGTGCACAATAGACACCTCAACTATTGACAAACCGCGCAAGCCATTTACCATATTGCCATTTAACTATACCCATTCATTTAATTATTGAACAATTGATCGACCTTTTGAGAAGTGCCAAATTGTTATGTCGTTACGGCCTCGATTGAATTCTAGGTCTTTTGATGCCTTTCTTTTATTTTTTGTTCTTTTAAGCTGGTTTCCAAGTAATTTTTGTTGAATTTTTTTATAAATAAAATTTGCAGGTACCAATTCAAAAAACAAGTTCATGTGTTGAATTTATTAGGTTTTTTAAAAGTTCCTCGTAGCATTGTTTAATACTGGGATCAAAGTAAAAAGTATCTTGAAAATATATAAAAATATTAAAAAGTATATTTATTTTAAGGACTTTTCTTAAGTGTGCAACTTACACCTTACACTTACGCCTTTCTGTTTGCTGTCCTGTTTTATGTTTACACCTTCCACTTATACCTTTTGTGTTGGTTGCATATGGTGTGCAACCTTAAGGGGTTGCACACCATAACAGCACCCTTATTTTAATACATTATACATTAAATTAGTTAAAAGTGTCTGGTATTATTCAAATGTTTTATCTTTTTCTTGTGCCAAACTAAATTAGTTGGTAAGTTCTTGTTCAACTAATACAGACATGAATTTTGAATAATAATCATAGTTGTTAAGAGGGCTTTCTTGGATTGTAAGGAAAGATTGGTGAAATTTAATGGGAGATTGGAGGTTTTTACATACGAACTTTGCAATTATGTGTAATAAATTACATTTCTATTTTCAAATTACCTATAGGAGTAACAAAGGAAATTGATAAGTTGAGGGCAACATTTTTGTGGGGTAGTTCAGAAATTAGAAAGAAGATTCATTTAGTAAATTGGAAAGAAGTAACATTGAGCAAAGAACAACGAGGGTTAGGCATAAGAAGGGTAAGGGACATTAATGACTTCATGTTAACTAAATGATGGTGGAGATATGGGGTGAAAGATGAATCATTATGGAAAAAAGTAATCATTAGCAAGTATGGGGCAGTAGGTGGAAGATGGTTACCAGTGATGGAAAGGATAGGAAATGAATCTACTGTCTGGAGTGATATCCTGAGTGTGTTAAGGACTAACCCTGAATTATTTGATTTTTTTTTTTTTTAAAGTCTAATTGCAAGATTGTAATCGAAAATGGGTGTAGGATTGACTACTGATGTCACGACCCAAACCCGCCCTATGGGTTTAGCATCGTAACCGGCCAATAATTCGTGATTACCAAAGGTCTTCCTATACTAATCAAATGGTCAGGGCTAGCGGAAGCTAATATATCCTAAAATAAAACGTCCAACGAGCTATGAAAATGTATATGAGACAAAATGCAGTGCCATATATATAGATATATATACACATCAAGATACAAGAAGTTTGCCAAAATACAAACATGAGAGGGAGTACATCTCCATCATCAACATATGTGTAAGTAAAATGAAATTGTTCATAACATGTGAGTGATTGTCAAAATGGTGATCACCGGCCAACCAAAGCCTCGACAAATGGGAACCTCACGGTGAGGCACAAAAGGTAGCTTGACAAAACTGTGGCAAGGTCGATACCACTAAGTTCCTTCTCACACTGGATCACCTACATATACATATAAATCTAAAATCATGAACTAGGGCCCAGTGAATAACAACAGTGTAAAGAGGTTATGAATGATGTCCTTACTGTAAAGCAAATCATATACTTAACAGATTATTATCTCATACAAGAAGCATAAATGTCATGCGTGGTACATCTACTGGCAAACTAGTACAGGCGGTCTTGAAGACCGAACGACCAGTCATGAAGACCAACAATCAGATATGATGACCATCAATACAGTAAACAGGGGTTCCAAGAACTGTAACTGATAGAGATCTCTGTAACAATAATAGTAAACAGGTGTTAAGGATGCCACGAATACAGTGTAAGAAAATAGGATCATCATTCATTAAGCAGAAGAAACATTATAGAACAAAGGATAGTATAAAGCAGAAAAGAAATACTTTTAGTTAAACAATTCTTTACAATAGTGTTACTTACAGTTGGCTCCGCGAAACACGTGGTTGGGACGTGGCGCTTGACCTACACAAACATATACAAGCATAGCATGTTTAACTTGTCGTGCAACCAACTAGTTGTCATTATTGCTTATTGATTGATGGATTGGCCTAATTGTCCCTTATTCTCTTTTAATGCTTGTGTAATGCATATGAATGTCAACTACATGTGAAAACCATGCTAACGGAGGTCCGGAAGAGGGAAAAATGAAGCAGAAAAATGAGATTGGGTTTGCCAAATAGCTGCACGTGCGGGACTCCCACCGCACGTGCGATTATTTCAAAATGTGTAGCTCTTCTACCCTATTTTCTGCAAGTGCGGGCCTCTTTGCTGCACGTGTGGCTCTGTTTTCCGCATGTGCGGTTCTCCCTGCCACACGTGCGATTTTGGGTGTCTCAGGTCCAAAATTATGCCATGGTTTTGAGCTTCAATGTTTCCAAAACTCAACTCTAATTTTGTACAAATCAAGGACCAAAGCTTACTAGAACATAGTAAATGAACAAATTCTAAGTTCAAACCAAAATCATAACTTTAAAACAAAACCTAATTTCCAATTCACATGAGCAAAACTTGTAGTTGAGACAAAAAAAAAAAAAAAAAAACAAGGATTATGCATATGGGAGTTCTATGGTTTGAAAATCCATGGGAAATCCTTCCTCTAACTCAAAATCCACGCAAAACCAAGTAAGTGAGTATAAATAATGCCATACATGCTAAGCTTTGGAGTTATTTCTTCTAATCTCTCTCTTAAGGGTTCTTGACATAACCTTACACTAACAAATCCTTCATTCTTCACTTAGATTTCATGAATTCAAGAATAAAGCTGTCATGACCCGAACCCGCCCCCATGGGCTAAGGACATAACCGACTAGTAATCACGAGATTACCTACGGCCTTAAACCAAATCAGATATATTTTAACAGAGTTAAGGGGGCCAAATGGAAGCAATTTCAAACTTTTGTCTATAGAGCTGTGCTTATATGGCACGTCATAACATTTCACAAACATACATTGATAACTCACATCAAGGAAAGTTAACACATAAGCTTTACACAACAGGATCATTCAAGTCATGGTCAGCCAATCAAAACTA